TGTGTGTTATTCAGTCTGTGTTCTGACTATTCATAATTTGTTATTCATAACTTTATTGATTCTCCCTAATTCCTCTTTTCCATCTTTTAAATGTTCCTTTCTAAAACAGCCTACCGCTTGTACACATTCAGAAAGTCTTCCGGTTTTGTGGACATTAATCAGGTGGCTGTAATTACACAGAAAATTGAGACACAGCATTTTGACCACTGGATTAACAAATCATTTCAATTATATGAAGCTTTTTCTCCGCATTTGCAGTTCCTTTACAAACCTTTAATGTAATGTTTAATGCACTTTTTTCCTTTGCATTTTTATATCAATATGGTACAATATTTTACTATTTAAATCAATTTGATAAATGAGTTAGGTTAAAAGTAATCAAAAAATCTGATTATATTACCTAAAATGTGTAATGTAATGAATTGTGTTAATAACTACAATTTTTGTCATGTAATTTGGAATCCGTAACGTAATGGACTACAATGTGTAATTAATCTACCCAGCTCTGCGTGTACATTTAGTTATTTACCTGTCCAGCAGATAACAAGCAACCTCCATGTCATTCTTCATGCCTTTCTCCACCTTCAGCGCTTTCCATCTGGAATATTCCTCGCCGATGTTTACTCTGTTTTTCTGCCTCAGTCTGTCTTTCTCCCGCTTCACGTCTGTCCTCTTTCGCTTCTTGGGCAGAGCTTGTATTGTCTCAGCGGTTGATGCATAACAGTGATCCATTTCTTCCTCCGAAACTTCTGAATTGAAGTCCCGGCTGATCAGTGATCGACCTCTCACAGTCTCCTAAAACAACCCGTCTTACGGTTTAATATGGTGAAAATTACACTACTTTATAATGCATTGGCCTATACATCAAGTAATTGTAAAATAAGTTTTAAAAATAAATAAAAATGTATGCATCCTTAACTCTAACCCCCTCAAAGATCCCCCAAGCTGTTTCCATGCATACCTCTGCTTTTTGTAAACAAGTCACAGGCACAGCTGTATTTGTAAGATCTCGACGTGCCTTTCCCTCATCTGCTCTGAAATCGTCTCGTGAAAAATGTTCACTGCACAACTTCATGTGCTTTAAGTATCGAATAGTTAAAGTAATATCCTGATGAGCAGCAGCCAAAGCTTCAGTCGCTCAGGACCGTTCACTGGAAATCTGTGAAAAGTCACCCTGTCACCTGTAAGGCTCGCTAATGCACTTACATACTCGCAGGTTTTTTTTCTTGAAGGTCTTGGATCCTGGAAATGTACACCTGTGCATTTTTTATTATTATTATT